AAAAAATAAAAATATAATTCTAAACTGCGAGCTTCGGTGTTTTAATATAATGTAAATATTAAATTTTGGTGTATATTGGTGAACGATTTAACATTACTAGGATTTTGCAAATATAAAAATTATAAATTCGTTAAATTTATTTTTCCCGTGAATCTAGTAAATTTGCATTCAAGTCGGGTTGAAATTAAAATTGAGATCAAATAGGAGTTGACTACGGGTGTAAACGAACCGAACACGAACGAACAAAGCTCACGTTCATGTTCGGTTCGTTTGAAATTACGTGTGTTTGAAATTGTTCGTGAAGTTATTTTTCGTGTTCGGTTTGATTTGTTTGAAATGTTAAAATTGTTCGAATTATTTCGAATTATTTGAATAATTCAAAATTTTACAAATTTATTTGTATTATTCAAATTGTTTGAATTGTTAGAAATCTTTTAAAAACTTGAACCTATATGAAATGAATGCTTAAACATGTATGAATCGCAACACAAATGCAAAATAGCTGAAGCATGACTCACAATAAAACCATAATATCATATCTCATCAATAAACAATTCAGATTTAGAGGCAGTATGCGAGATTCCACTCCCAAAAACTAGGTTCACTCAAAGAAACTAAATAAATTTAAAAGAAATATAAGAAAATTTACGCTAAGAGATGAACCTGAAGATAAAAAACAAAATTGTAGAAATTAATATAACCTAAGATGCGAACCTGAAGACCAGATTATAATTTATAGGATTTAATTTTTTAAAATATAAATTTTTAGAGTATAGAATTATTTTTAAAATATAACAAATTTTTTATATATAATTATTTTAAATTATTTTATATTTCGAACAATAACGATTCGAGCACGATCGAACAAATGATTGTTCGTGTTTGATTTGTTTATAAATCGAACGAAAAAAAAAATTTTTTGTTTATGTTCGTCTCGTTTGCTTATCGAACGAATCGAACACGAACTCCCCGACGAGCCGAACACGAACTGCTCGTGAACAACGAGCTTTTTTGACAGCCCTAGAGTTCAAGTAGGAGGGCGAATTAATAATTTTTAATAGTATAAAAAGATTATTTTTGGCATTCTGTAAATTTATTATGATGTGTAATAATTTGAAGGCTGTGGTCCATACTTGGCTTGGAACAAAATATGGCCTAAATGAGAATATCAATATAGTAACGGTTGAAATAGGAGAATATATCATAATAAGAATACATTACGGTTGAATCCTTTTAAAATGTGGGGTCCCATATTTATTATAGCTCCCACAGTCACACAACCCAAAAGAAATCATAAAATAAGAGGAAGAGGGTGAAGATGATGATAGAGATGATTCGAGTGACTCATTGATGGTAGAGATGTGGTTGATGCCTCTGGAGATAGGAGGGCTCATTTATTTATATGACGCATAGAATGCTCCTCACTCTTGTGAGATTACATAGAGAGAGAGAGACAGAGAGGAACATAAGACATTAGAGAGAAATAGAAAAAAAGAGTAAAGTGCATAATAATAAACAATAATTTTTTTTGTCATTAACCTCTTCTAATGAAAAGGTCTCCCTATTTGTAAGAGAAGAGGGTATAGTATGTGTAATTACATGTTTGTCTATACTTTAATGAGAGTGTTACATCATATTTAGGTATTTCATAAATATAAGCTTGTCGTTTGGTTACCCCACAATTCAACCGACTGAGATAAAAGGACCTTGGCTCGACAAGATCCGGTTGTTCGACTGTGTTGAGTTTGGGTTGCCGGTTGGCTTTTAATGTTCTTTCGTTCAGACAAACTTGGCTTAGTTGGCTTGATGCTGCTTGCCAAGAACTTTATTTTAATTGTTGACCATTGATCCCTGTGTAAAGAACTCCAGTTGACAGAATGAGACCAGGTTGTCAGACAGAGGGCGAATAACCGTAATCTAACGGGAAACTCACCCCTTAATAAAAGAGCCCTTCAGGGGTGCCCTTGAAGTATATCTTGGTCGATCCTTGGCCTCTCGACAAAGAGTATAAGAGTCGTTTATGTGATAAAGAGCTATTTCCCTTAAGTCAGGTTGAGGGCCAAAGTTGGACTAGTGTCTTCTCTCAACTTGATTGATCTTGATCCTTAGTTCGGATGGTTAGTAACCGATTGACTCCAGACCCTATGGTCAAGCGAGTCTTTTGATTTTCCACTAAAACATCTTTTAGTATTCCACTGGTGGTCCATTGGTCTTCTGTCGGTGAGCCTTCTTGTTTGCACGTCTTCATCCCCTAGTTCATTAAATCTCCTCAGAATTTGTGCTGACATATTTTTATGTACAAGTACGAAGCCTATCCATGATGTCCTAACGAGAAGATGGTGATGTGAATGTCAGGAGGCTCGTAAGAGAATATGAACATATGTCCACTCTTTATTGATGACCTTCACTTCCGTGGTGGTTAATCCCGAGAGTCGGCTTCAGAGACATTGGTAGGTCACTTCGATGAGTGAGATCAGCAGGTCACTCCGACAAGTGAGCACAGTAGGTCACTTTGGCAAGTCACTGTGGCAGCAAGTGCATGCCAACTAACACATTAGCACGTCACCTTGGTAGGTCACTCTAGTAGCTAGTGGGTGGTTGCAATTGTGTTTTCAAGGTGTTGGGCTTTCTATGAATGCGAGGCCTGCTAGCATATGTACTGGCCCATAAAGTTCATTATTGGTATTCAATTACACTAATAAATATTATAAATTTCATCATAAATATTAATTTATATAAGTACCACCTTTTTTTTTTGCTTATAAAGTTAACAATTATCTCTTTTTTGGAACTATTAAAATTTATTTATGTATGCCACAATTAAATCATCCGAAATTTGACAAAGTGAAATACACGAGCTGGAATTTTAGTGTAAAATATAATATTTAAGTGAGAATATATATAATTAATTAGATTTGAAAATTTTAACTTCATAATTTTATATTTAACTCAATATAAATTATCAATTTAGTTTTTTATAGGAAAATTTTTAACCATTATGTCGAGAATAAAAAGTGAATAAAAATTTATTTGAACCAAACGATTCAATATAATTATAATCAGTCAGTCAATCGAACTTATAGCTCACATCGGTCTACACTGGTTTGATATGAAAATAGTGTTTGAGTCAAATCATATCTATCGTATGTCCCGATACACGATTAAACTTGCTATTCCAGTCTTATTTTTAGAATATTGATTCTGCCTCTACATGTTAATGTGTCATTTACGTGGAATATCAATAATAGTGATCATATTAATTCTTAGGCCATCTTTTTTTTTCCTCCCTAATGTTAATACCAAAATGAGACATACATGTTCCTTTTGCTTTCACCTTTTAAAAAAAAGATGTATAAGAAGGAAAGAGCTATCTAGAAAGTAAAGTAAATGCAACCTTTAAGTGCCATGGTGACCGCATTGAATCCTCTATTAATTATGAGGGTTATGAGACTATTTTACTATTTTATGAGTAGTTGCAAATTCTATCTTTTGAATTTTTAAAAATTCCTTGGCTAGAATACACATCTTCTATATTTTACAATTCTATATCTTACTCTTACCACCTATTAAAATTCTTCCAACAACTTTCTTTTAACTTAAAAGAAACATGTTGTTTTCTTCCTTAGGGATTCTCTTATCTGAATTTTAGCAGTTCAATGTTCATTGCTTCGAAGCAAAGGCCTTAGGTTGAGGTAATGGGAAAGTATTGTGGGGTGTAGAAGAGGTGCATTGAGAGTAAAGCCTCTTTTTTTTTTGTTTTTTCTATGAAGTTTAGTGTAGGCTAATAAATGAAAAATACTACTTTGGTAATTAAGAATTTGTCAAGTGAATTTTGGATATTAGGCAATTGGAGAATTGAAAATGAAATTAGTTTGGATGCATAATCTTCCATGTAGGCTAAATTCAAAGCTTTGTGATTTTGCTTATATGGAAATAAGACCATCACGAGAGTAGTTGGTTAATTGTTATGGCCACATATGTTACGACTTAATGGTCATCTGTTTTGTTCTAAATGCCTCGAATATGTACGGAAAAGATAAGTTCATTATGTCTATTAAATCTTTTAATTGTCAAAGTATCAGCAATATTGCTATCTATTAAAAAAAACACTAAATTTGTCATTATGCTTGTTAATTCTCTTAATTTAGTAATGAAATACATCCATAAGTATTTATTTGAAATGCTCATTAGTATATACCTTTTTACCATTATATATATGTGTGTGCGCGTGTGTGTTGGAAATATCAAGGGCTACGTTAGGATCACACCAATTCAAGAAATACAAGGCAAAGTATCGAACATAAACGCATAACAAGTAATCATGGAAAAAATACACCATTTAATGTGGAAAAACCAGATAACGAGAAAAAAATAATAAAACACACCATTTAATGTGGAAAAACCAGATAACGAGAAAAAAATAATAGGGCCGCACCACACCAAAAACAACTATGAAAGAAGAAATGTACAGATTTTACCACTCAAAATTTTATCTCTACATCACTGGAGCTTGCAAGAATATCATTCTAAATTTTTTCTTGATCCCACAAAAGAAATTGCACGCTTCGAAATCCACCTCTTGAAATTCACCGTTCCACGCGAAAGCCTTTGAGAGTTCACCGCATAAGGTAGGGAGAGAGGCCACTTCGAATCGAGGACATAAGTATAAATAATAAAAAAAACCTTAGGTGTTAGATATGTACATACACAGGAATTGGGTGGCATGTATCTACATGCTCTCATCATAATAAAGTATTCCCTGCAGGTAACATGAAAATTTTATATTTAACTTCATACATGACTCTGTTAGCCCCTTGATTAACTATTAATCAACCATTTGGTAGATTACTGGCGTCATTAATCGTAACTATACGTGTCCGAAAATCATAATACAAGCATCAGACCATTGCAGCAAGCAGAAGCCTAAGAAGAATCATGCTTTTCTCAGGCACTGTAGCATGGGAGTACAAATTAAACAAATTAATAATTATTGTTGCATCACGTGAAGATCGAAACATCTTTCAACATATACAAATACATTCCCATATTAATCATTGATTATTCCTCCATGAAAAAACAAATACATCTCCATCAATTCTGACATTGGGGGCAAAAAGAAAAGCTCAATCTAATAAAAAGTTCATCATTAATGCAAAAAAAAAAAAAAAAATTGAAACAAATTAGTCCAAAATCAAACTCTATTTCTGCTCAGCATTGGCTCCAACAGCATCAGGTGATTGCAACCCAATCGAGCTTTTAACCATTTTTTCTAATTCATTTGGATCCAATGACGCATGAACTCCATCCCTTATTTCTTTTATCAACCTCTCCACCTTACCCTTATCATTTCTTGAACCTTTCTCCATCTCCAACCTCAACTCATCAACCTTAACTCTCAACCCACCCATCTCAACAACTTTATCTATTTCACCAAATATCACTTCGTTCGCTTTCGCCACCTTCTCCAATATAACCGAAGGAGCCGAAGAACTCATCTTTCTGTTCACTCCCAACACCTCAAAGTTTGCAGATTTCAACATTTCCATCAGTTCATCCCTCGCTTCGTCAACTCTCTTGAGCGTATCATCGTCCAATTCCTCTCCCTTTGCCGCCAAATCACGTGCTTTTCTCAATATTTCCATCTTCTCTTTCGCCTTGTTTTGAAGCCGGTCATTGATAGCCTTTTTCAGTATCTCTCCCTTTCGCTTGTGTTCTAGCAGTGTGTTTACCTCGGATAATGTTTTGAGCTTCTGCGTAAGCCCATCGAACGATCCAGAACTTGATAAGTTGTTCTTGAATTCTTGAACGAGCCGACCCACCCTCTCCTTGAGCGTTGGAACTTGATTTAGATCTGAGGGTGCTTTCAATAAATCCATCTTTAGAGCTTCGAGTTTCTCCTGAAGGCCCATTGCAATAAAAGCATTGGTGATCTCCTTGTCCACGTCGTGCTTCACCAACTCCACATCCTCATCGGAGAAAACAGGCACGGTGGACTTCTTCTTGGCTTTTAATACAGACTTTTTGACTTCTTCGAGTTCTGCCTCCAGGTTGGCTGTTATTTCGGAAACAGCAACATCCTTCTTCTTCATGTTACGTTTCTTCTCAGGTTCCACAGAGCCGCCTTCCTGGATACCACCAAGTTGTCGGAATTTTAAATGCCTATGGCCGAGCAAACTATCGGTGTTCATTTGGGTGAGTTCCTGCAAAAGACTTTGGCTTTAGTCATATTAGAAGTGATGTGTGTAATCAAAATATATTGGAGACACGAAATTCTCAGTGCCATTAAGTTTATCATAGCTAATTGGAAATAACCATCCTTAGACAATTCCATTAAACGCTAATTTTATTTTGCGTAATTCTTTATGTATGACTAATAGCCATGCTATTTTGGTTCTTTTTTTTTTTTTTTCATAATTCAAAAGTGCAACTGCTTCCCCCAATTTTATTGTACCATTCTTCCCATTGTGGTCCACATTTAAATCAAGGAAATATACTTTTGACAACCATGGATTCTCCTGATAGTGCTCACTCCATCATTATTACAATATAATTATTTCTCACTCGCCATCCTTCCTATTTTTATCATATATCTATCAAATTATTGTCATTTCTGATGAACTCACCTTTGTAGTGATTTTTTGTAGTTCAATTGAGATCAACATAGAATTACAAATTTTAATCTGATTTTATAAAATGTAGATTTAAGTCAGCATGATATTCACAAGATTGATTATTACATTATTACCCCTTTGACATTATAATTAAGCACTCATCTTTAAATCAAAAAGTTATTTTCTCATTCTTTTCACATGATTATTCATAATTACTATTAAAAAATGTACTGAAATCATATATTATGTAGAGTCTTTTTTGTAGTCCTAGGCTACTTATAATTCCTTTGAAGATGTAGGTACCCATTTACTTCACACCGTCATAAATATGCCGTCAGCAGAAAACATCTAGTGAACCTTTGTGTTAAGTATTGTATAAGCACATTCATTTTTAATGGATATATATATATATATAGGCCTGTTGGTAGAGCAACCTCCCTCTGACCAATTTCTCGATAGTGATGGCAATCTCGAATAGTAAGGCACATGAGGGTGGCTGAGGGCTGATATAATAGCCTCTGACCATTCTTTCAATAATAAAATAATAATAATAATAATAATAATAATAATTGGAGCTTAATGTAACTCTACTATGACTCAAAACTCCTTTGATACCTCAGAATTACTTAAAAACTAATCAAAACTTAAGTAATGCATTTTCTTAAGAACATCATATATTTGAAGATTTCATTTTTTTTGTAAAGCTCACTAAATTATTATAACATTATAAGAATTTTCAGAATCAATAAAATTATATAATAATCTCATTGCTCCATCTGACATCAATTATGTAAACACAAAATTTGTCTCAATAGTAAATAATCCTTGTATAAAACAACGAGTAAATTATATAGATCCCTAAGATCAAGTAGCAATTTCATGTTTGTACACATTTTAAAAATCCCTACAACTGAACGCTTTCAAGCGGATTATGTGCTTCAAATTATATTTGACGATTTCATTTTTTGTGAAGCTCACTAAATTATTATAACATTATAAGTATTTTTAGAATCAATAAAATTATATAAAGATCTCATTGCTCCATCATCTGACATCAATTGTTTAAACACAAAATTTGCCTCAATAGTAAATCTTCCTTATATAAAACTAGGTGTAAATTATATAGGTCCCTAAGATCAGTAGTCATTTCATGTTTGTACACATTTTAAAAACTCCTACAATTGAACACTTTCAAACACATTGTACACTTTTTAAAAATCCTTACAATTGAATAATTTCAGCCTGATTATGTGCTTCAAATTATACTTGACGATTTTATTTTTTGTAAAGCTCATTAAATTATTATAACATTATAAGTATTTTTAGAATCAATAAAACTATATAAAAATCTCATTGCTCCATCATCTGACATCAATTGCTTAAACACAAAATTTGCGTCAATAGTAAATCTTCCTTATATAAAACTAGGAGTAAATTATATAGATCTCTAAGATCAAGTAGCAATTTCATATTTGTACACATTTTAAAAATCCCTACAATTGAACCCTTACAGGCTGATTATGTGCTTCAAATTATATTTGACGATTTCATTTTTTGTAAAGCTCACTAAATTATAAGTATTTTTAGAATCAATAAAACTATATAAAGATCTCATTGGTCCATCATCTGACATCAATTGTTTAAACACAAAATTTGCCACAACAGTAAATCTTCCTTATATAAAACTAGGAGTTAAATTATATAGGTCTTTAAGATCAAGTAGTCATTTCATGTTTGTACGCATTTTAAAAATTCCTACAACTGAACACTTTCAGGTTGATTATGTGCTTCAAATTATATTTGACGATTTCATTTTTTGTGAAGCACACTAAATTATTATAACATTATAAGTATTTTTAGACTCAATAAAACTATATAAAGATCTCATTGCTCCATCATCTGACATCAATTGTTTAAACACAAAATTTGCCTCAATAGTAAATCTTCCTTATATAAAACTAGGTGTAAATTTTCCCTAAGATCAAGTAGCCATTTCATGTTTGTACACATTTTAACAACTCCTACAATTGAAGACTTTCAAACACATCATACACAGTTTAAAAATCCCTACAATTGAACACTTTTAGGCTGATTAAGTGCTTCAAATTATATTTGACGATTTCATTTTTTGTAAAACTCACTAAATTATTATAACATTATGTGTTTTTAGAATCAATAAAACTATATAAGATCTCATTGCTCCATCATCTGACATCAATTGTTTAAACACAAAATTTGTCACAACAATAAATTTTCCTTATATAAAACTAGGAGTTAAATTATACAGGTCCCTAAGATCAAGTAGCAATTTCATGTTTGTACACATTTTAAAAATCCCTACAACTGAACACTTTCAGGCCGATTATGTGCTTCAAATTATATTTGACCATTTCATTTTTTGTAAAGCTCACTAAATTATTATAACATTATAAATATTTTCAAAATCAATAGAACTATATAAAGATCTCATTGCTTCATCATCTGACATCAATTGTTTAAACACAAAATTTGTCTCAATAGTAAATCTTCCTTATATAAAACTAGGAGTAAATTATATAGGTCCCTAAGATCAAGTAGCCATTTCATGTTTGTACACATTTTAAAAATTCCTACAATTGAACAATTTTAGGACAATCATGTGCTTCAAATTATATTTAACGATTTCATTTTTTGTAAAGCTCTCTAAATTATTAATAACATTATAAGTATTTTCAGACTCAATAAAACTATATAAAGATCTCATTGCTCCATCATCTGACATCAATTGTTTAAACACAAAATTTGTCACAACAATAAATTTTCCTTATATAAAACTAGGAGTTAAATTATACAGGTCCCTAAGATCAAGTAGCAATTTCATGTTTGTACACATTTTAAAAATCCCTACAACTGAACACTTTCAGGCCGATTATGTGCTTCAAATTATATTTGACGATTTCATTTTTTGTAAAACTCACTAAATTATTATAACATTATGTGTTTTTAGAATCAATAAAACTATATAAGATCTCATTGCTCCATCATCTGACATCAATTGTTTAAACACAAAATTTGTCACAACAATAAATTTTCCTTATATAAAACTAGGAGTTAAATTATACAGGTCCCTAAGATCAAGTAGCAATTTCATGTTTGTACACATTTTAAAAATCCCTACAACTGAACACTTTCAGGCCGATTATGTGCTTCAAATTATATTTGACCATTTCATTTTTTGTAAAGCTCACTAAATTATTATAACATTATAAGTATTTTCAAAATCAATAAAACTATATAAAAATCTCATCGCTCCATCATCTGACATCAATTGTTTAAACACCAAATTTGCCTCCATAGTAAATCATCCTTATAAAAAACTAGGAGTAAATTATATAGGTCCCTAAGATCAAGGAGTCATTTCATGTTTGTACACATTTTAAAAATTCCTACAATTGAACAATTTTAGGACAATCATGTGCTTCAAATTATATTTAACGATTTCATTTTTTGTAAAGCTCTCTAAATTATTATAACATTATAAGTGATGCATGCTAGAAAATTCGCGGCGGTAGAATAATGAATTATCGTCTTAGCGTTGCACGAGGATTCAACACACACTCAAATGAAAGTAAAACAGCCAGTGATGCACCAGAAGTTTTGACGTGAAAAACCCGCAAAGAGAAAAAATCACGGGGTCTGACTTAGTTATAAAAATCCACTATATGTTGATGATTACAGCGGCCCCTTTGTCCGACAAACGGGAAATTGTTACTAAATTTTCAGGTTACAGCGTCGCCTGACGTTGTTCGGTTAATGGTGGTCGGCGATGATCGACGGTGGATGACAGTCAGCGGTGATCGACGGTGGTCGACGATGGTCGACGGTGGTTGGCAGTGGTCGGCGGTGGTCGGCGGTGGTCGATGGAGATCAATGGTGGTCGGCGGTTGTCAAGATGATGTTGCACTTAAGCTCTTTCTCAAAGCCTCAAGTGTTCTCTCAAGCCTCCTCTTTCATGTGAGGGGTGAGACTCTATTTATAGTGTTTTGAGTGCAATTAATGCAGGAATATGAACCATTTTGATCAGACGGTCCGGAGAACTTCCCTTGATCAGATGACGTTTGATGGATATTTGAGTGACTTAACGATGTCAGAATTGAGCAAATTTGGGCTCGTTGGATTCGTTTTGTCGAGACGCTCGATTCGACTATGAACTCGCTAGATTCGACATCCGTTTTACCTTTCAAATGCCTCCAAAAATCCCTCAAGAGTGATTTAATGATTTGATCCGGCTTGATTTGACTCGGATTGGACTGACTTTCTTATCATTAGGTCCGTCTCATCGAGCCGATTAGTTTGACTATAAGTTTACTGAAATAGGAGCTCCAGATGACTCTTAATCAAATTTTAAATATTTCTTGTTAAAAAAATTGCACCAAGATTCGTGCCGGATGATGAAAATTTGTTGGTGGCGTATCGGTTGCCCCCTATTTTCGGGTGAAACCATTTTTTTTCGTCCGAAAATATTAAGATCCATAGACTTTTCATAGAGGCATAAAAAATTTCAATATATATATTTTATTGCTATCAGTATGTAAAAAAGAATAATATTT